TGTACGAAAGACGTCATTGGTTAGGAGAGCTCGATTTTAGCTGAAGAGCGTTGCATTAGTAGCAGCATCCATATATATATATATATATATATATATATATATATATATATATATATATATATATATATATATATATATTGTATTTCTATAACGTCTGAAGATACAACTATGTCTACTTCTTGGACACACAAAATTTCATAAGCATCTAAAAGATTTCGCATCTTTAAGACATTTGCTAAATAATGAAGTAAGAGTTCTTCTTCTTTGGAAATGGTTATATAGCTTTTTGAAATAATCTCTTTATTTGTCTTTCATGTCCTTATGTTTACTCTCCAGATGATATTTAAGCTGACTTTAGCACATGCTTTCACTAGAAAGTTCTGTCATACACAAGGGACCCATTGTCATTGTTTTAGAGACTCTGAAGCTGTATGCTAAAAACTCGCTTGTGTATTATCGACGTCGTTTCTTATCAACCATCTGGTAATCTACCAGTAAAAAAATAAATTGATAAATGTCTAATATTTAAATACATATTGTTTTTCTTTTGAACATAGTTAAAATACCAATTAAATATTCAGAAGCCATTAATAATTTATGGCTTTAATATTTAATTGGTATTTTAATTATGTTCAAGAGAAAACATTATGTATTTAAATATTAAACATTCATCAATTATTTTTTAAGGATATATTATTTATTATATATATTATTATATATTATTTATTATATATATTATTATATATTATTTATTTTAAAAATTTTTTTATGGATATATTATTTATTTTTTTATGGATATATTTTTGTTTATGAATATATTTTTTATGGATGAGTTTATGGATATATCCACTTATAAAAATATGCAAAAAATCAAAGTAGAACAGTTATAGCTGTATTGAGCAAGAATTTCACAAAACTGAAATGGTACAATTTTCTTTCAACAATCTTTCAAGAATCGGTATTTTCAATGCCCGACTAATTAAAAGTTAGTAATTAGTAAATTTTCATCATATAATATATTAAAATTATTTACATATTTTTAATTTCATTATTTTAAAGAAAAGTATTCAACGAAATCTCTAAGTCAAAGTTGCCAAAATTTCTGACCTCTGGCCGTTTATGGCTGATTCTTCAATGCATTTCTTTTGTGAGATAATACTTCAATAATAATAATGACATCTTCAATGTATTTCGTTTTTGAATTCATAGATGAATTATAACACACACACACACACACACACACACACACACACACACACACACACACACACACATATATATATATATATATATATATATATATATATATATATATAACGTTTTATAGACAATATACACACCAAAACACTGACATGAGCCGAGTTAAGCGGAGTTGAGCAGAGTTAGCATTAAGTCTTAACTGCGTTTGTCGAACCCTCTGCCTTCGGGTAGAGGGGAACTCAGATGCGGCTATGTCGAATGGTAGAGTCTCGCTTAGGAAGGTAGACAAACTCGGCCCCATTTATATGAGGTCTACGGGGAATTTTTGACCGACCCTACGAGCTCAGAATCGCTCCACATTAAAAAAAAACCGGCCTTGTGCCACATCCCGCCTTGTGGGAGGACTTGGGTAAATACCGAGTTAGCGGGCTAAGCTCTTATCTCGACTGGGAAGGTAAACAAACCCGACCCCGTTTATACGTGATCTACGCTCGGAAAAACCCACGTTAAAGCTGCCTTGTGCCACATCCTGTTCTGTGCGGAGCTCGGGTAAATACCGAGTTAGCATTAGGCCAATTGCTAATAGTACCTTTGTGTATTAAACCTTCTATTTCATTACTTACCTACGAGTGTGGCTTCTTATTTATTTTACGTCCTGGGTAAGACGATAAACTACATCCACTTCCTGGGAAAGACGATAAACTACATCCAACTGCAAGGCCTCTGATCAGGAGCTTTTGAAGGTGTTCCCAGATCCACCCTGACCCCGGGTGGCAGCATCTGCTATGGTCCCAACTATGGGCAAATAGTTGACCCACCACCCAAACTAGGGTCAAGACACTATGAAAGTGTAAAAATAGGTAAAACAAACGAAAGCAAACACGGTACACCCTAAGTGTTTCATTAGACGCCAGCTCCAATTCAAATACAGACACAACATATCTATAAAATATCTTAGGCCTTAAGAATTCTTACAAAAAATTTTGTTAAATCCGACTGACAAAGTCTGTTTAAATTTTATTGTATTTTTCCAATATTCGAATAAGATGAACACAGCGATCAAAATTGTGGATAAATTGTCCGAAGACTTTTTTTCTGTTTAGTTCACGCATGTTCGACCGTCACTAACAACACCAAGTTCTTGAGCATGACTGAAAAGACTGAAAGTACTTCTAAAAAAAAAACAAAATAAACAAAAAATAAAAACCAAAACCAAAAACAAAAAAAAAGAAAGAAAATAAACGTGGAAAAGGAAATAGGAAACTACTTCTTTATACTTCCCAAGAGGTCGTATCAATTCAGCGATATTAAAAACAAAAGATGCCTATGTAGGGTTATTTAAGTCTTGAAAAGACACAGCATTAAAATAAGAAATAAAAATAAAGGTTTAAATGAAATAAAATAAAGATGAAAGAGAAAATGAAATATATATAAATATTTATTAATATTCTTGAGTGGATTTTTCTCTTGGAATTTACATTGAGACTTTCTTATGGTCAGGCGAACTTTCTCTATCGTATCTCATGCATATAATTATTTAACCTCTTCCGTTGCTGACTTCATTTTCACTTTCACTTTCACTTTATCCTCTCTTTATTGCACCTAGTTTTATTCGTTTTATCCTGCTATATTCTCATATATGATTCGCAAATGCTATTTCTTTCTTTCTTTCTTTCATTCTTTCTTTCTTTCTTTCTTTCTTTCTAAACAATAAGCTGATATTCTTCTCATGCTAAAACCGAGCTAAACTTCTTAACTCTTATCTGTCCATTTAACTATATTTAGACCGAAGAAACGATCGCGAGACCAAAATTATATCTCAGGCGTTTTCACGTCCAAACGGATATTTGACTGATAAGTACTGGTTGCAACCACCTGCTCCTCTCTCTCTGTATGTACGGGCATTTATATATATATTATATATATATATATATATATATATAAAGAGAGAGAGGGAGACATTGTGAAACAGAGAGAGTGAGAGGGAGACAAAGAGAGAGAGAGGGGGAGAGAGGTATGGAAACACAGAGAGATGGTTATAGGAAAATCCAACTCACAAACTGTTATCCATGTCTTAATCTCTCGCCGCATATTTCTTTTCGATGTTTCTGAAAGGACGTGGAAGACCACAGCTCTTCACAGCTTCCTGTTTTTCTCGCATATCCATGCAGATGGAAATTAAATGATGGTTGCCTTCTAGTTTGTTTTCGAAATTTTATTCGTATAACTGGTGTTTCAGTTTTTGTGAAGTTTTCACCTAGCTTAAAGTTAAAGAAAACACACACACACACACACACACACACACACACACATATATACATATATATATATATATATATATATATATATATATATATATATATATATATATATATATATATATATGTGTGTGTGTGTGTGTAAAAATATCTAGAAAATAGGAAAGAACTCGTTAGGTAAATAATCCAAAGTTCTTTAGTATTTTTCTTATTATTTTTAAAAAATAGAGCTCGATACAAAAGTAGAGAACTCTTATGTAGCGTTGGAATCATATTGTTATAATAAATATATATATATATATATATATATATATACCCCCTTTTTACCCATATTTCTCACCCACATAAGACAGATATGCTTGCAGATGTGTCAAGGTCTCACATTTATACACACACTGACACAAATATATACACATACGCACATCACATCCACTCTCAAAGAACTAAAAGATAACATACACTTAACACACACATCCCATTCCCAGCAACCAATAAAAAAGACAAAATGACCAAGGAGGGAATTCTTAGTCAGGAATCTGCCATCCTCTATCTTAAAAACAACTTCAAAGAGGCTGTTTGACCAAAGTACGGACTGACCAAAGTTAACGAAAAAAAAAAAAAAAAAAAAAAAAAAAAAAACAAAACAAAAAAAAACAAAACAAATGAAATCTACAGATAAAGTTCATTTTCTTCAGAAACAGTCATTCACTCCTGCAGTTCATTGCTACTAACAACTTTTTCTTCTGATGATGGCCATGCTGGATGCAAATAGTCGAGGAACCTAACTGAAATAATAAAACAAAAAATATTAATATACAACCCAATTTTCATATATTTTTATTGTCCAGTCTCTTTCTCTCTCTCTCTCTCTCTCTCTATATATATATATATATATATATATATATATATATATATATATATATATATATATATACAAGAAACAACAGAAAATAAAGTAATCAATAATAAATAATGAGTATTATCAAACAACCCAATAATGTAGCTACAAATAACAGCATTCGGATTCCCAATTATTTCTCCATAACAGCCTCCAGAATTTCGATTATCTCCGATCCTGTCCACTCAATAACCGTTAGATGAATAAAATATACCTTCTACCCATAATGCACTATATACCAGCATATATAAATAAAACACAACACACATGGCCTGAAGACTGCGTTTAAGCATGAAACAGACTGTTGACCTCAATGTCCCCTTTTTATATTTAGATATAGGCACGGTGGAGTAATGGATATAGGCTCGGAATTCGAATTCCAGTCGAATGAATTACATTCACTTACGTACTAATACCCTTGGGAAATATATGAATCTTCTTCTCCCTACCCAGCGATCGATCGGTAAATTGTAGGACAGGCTGGGTTTTATAATTTCTGGGTGGCAACTAATCTAAGAGAAAGTAACTCTGAATTCAAATCTGTATATATCCCTGGCGTAGCACATATAATTAAATTAAAGAAAAGATCGTTCGCATTAGCTCGATGATCCCGACTTTCTTTTGTCTTTCATTTTTCTTATCAGTAATATTCTTTCTCTCTTTTATCTTAACTTTCTTCGCTCCTGTTTTACTTTATCAATCCCCGCTTTCTTTCGGTTTTCATTCATCTATTTTAATCATTCCATTCTATCATTTATGGAATATTTACCTGTTCCTTCTTCGTTTTCCTATTTGTCTTTGGCGCTTCTTTTGTTTAACAGTGTTTGCGCTTCGGGAAATAATACACACAAAATCTTCTTTTCTAAAATTAACAAACACATTTCCCCGACTTATTTTCTTATTATACTAACATCCATTGTCGAGGAATTGTAAAAAAAAAAACCGACTCGACATGTTCTTAAGGCGTTTCGCCCAAAACATTACTGCAGATCTTTTCTGCTTCGGTTCGCACCCCCCCATAACCTGCCCATAAACTTTTCACTTATGTGAAAATTGGTCCAATATGAATTAGATCTACACGGACGGAATTCCACACATTATGTTTTTAAATAGTTCTTTTGTTCCTCGTAACAACCTCGTTCGGTACTCACCATTCTCGAAGAAAAGGAGATGGGAGCAGGGAGAGGTCCGTTGAAGTAGAGTAAAGGTTCGCATTGCCAAATTGTATTCGCGCCAAATATTAGGTTCGGCTCTACAGGGAATAAAAATACCGTGAAGAAAATAGCGAAGCATCTGCAATTGCAGATGAATGCAAATAGATGACTGTCATATGCATGCAGAACACACTTGACAAGGTTTATCTAGTTAAAGCATTGGGCTGCAAAACGGGAGTTCTAGGGTTATGTTCTTAGCAACGCTTACGGTTTTATAATAACAATCTGCAGTTTATCCAAAGGCGCATTCGAAAAGCAAAATATGCCTTCCAAAAGCTAAACAAGATATTATGAAATAGGAAAACTTCGTTAGAAACAAAGAAAAAAGTACTGAACTGTTATTGTAAGATGGTAGTATTCATTTTATGTAGAATTTTCACAGATGATACAGTTTTAATATCAGAAAGAGAACGGAAACTGCAGGAACTCATACAGAAATTAATAAAGAAAAGCGAGAATAAAGGACTAATTATCAATTGTAAGAAGACAGAATGTATTGTTGTCAGCAAGAGGAACAGTTCAAGATGCGAACTATGAACTGGAGATGTTGAAATCAAGCAAGTACAAATATCTGGGAAGTATTTTAACAGAGGATGAAAAATGCGACACCCAAAATTCAAAGACGCAGTGAAATAGTGAAAGATGCCTTCCAAAAGCTAAACAAAGTATTGAGAAAAAGAAAATTTTCGTAGAGTACTAAACTATTACGTAATATCAGTCCTTTTCTACGACAGAGAATGTTGGACAATCTCTTCACGAATGAAGAATAGATTTGAAGCTTCAGAAATGTTGTTCTACAGGAGGATGCTGAGTATAGCATGAACTAAACATATGATCAACGAGGACATTTTAGAGAAAATGGAAAAAAAGACACTTAACACATAGCATTAGATTGATTGTGTTTAATGACCTCTCAACCTGTTGCGGATCATTTAGAGCCAAATTGTTGTGTTGTAAGCATATAGTTCGTTATAGCATTAGAAAGGAAGAAACAATTGAAATTTCTAGGGCACATAATGAGGAAAGAAGGGTTGGAAAATTTAGCACTCACAGGACATATTGAAGGCAAGCGGGACAGAAGAAAACAGTGTATAACCTACTTTAGGATCTGGTTTAAATAGTTGGCAGTAGAAGGATTAGAAGAAATAGCAAATAGACAAACTTTACTAAGAGCTACAAATGACAGGAAATTGTGGAGAGCCATGATCAGGAGATTTTGACGAGCAGAGAACCACCTCTTAATTGCTGACCCGGGGTGGTAGCACTTGTTAGGGGTACCGGGTATGGGCAAATAGTTATCTCCCAAAATAGGGTCAAAACACTATGAAAGTGTAAAAATAGGTTTTAATAACAGCAATATATTTTGGAAAAAAATATTACCAGCAATAAAAATCTTGTCGGTATTAAATAACCCATAGAGGTTGATATGCCGTAGAACAAAAGAAAACCAAACCAAACCTAAAAAAATATCGAACGAAAGCTAACAGGAAAAAAAGAAAAACAAAAAAACAAAAACAAAAAACAAACAAAATAAAAAAAAAACCGTGTGTGAGTCTGATTAATATGCATTACTTAACTTCTGTTATTTAATTTTGGTTAATTTGCAGTGTAACACCCGCACTCAGTTCGCATTAAACATTTCCAAAATATTATCATTTTGTGTAATTGTACATGCTCCATTCAAATCTGGCTTGATAAATTTGATAAAATCTACCGGTTTGCAGTTATCGACAGTGAAATTTCGGATTCAATCGCGTCATTGGCGGCCGCCATTACTCACGTTATTTGCATACATTCGCTGCGGAAAGCTAAACGCGGAAAACTGATCTTTCTTGTCTAACTTTATCGCAATTCCTGCGCACGAGAACTATTTACGGAGACACGCTCAGTTTGCGCAATGATTCCTATACTGATAGCTATTCTGCAGCGAATGTATACAAACAACGCCAGTAATGGCTACCGCGACGCGAATGAATCCAAACTTTCACTGTCGATAACTCCAAAACGGTAGATTTTATCAAATTGATCAAGCCAGATTCGAATGGAGCATGTACAATTACACATAAATGTAAGTATTCTGGAATTTTTTAATGCGAACTGACTGCGGGTGTTACACTGCAAATTAACTGAAATTTCTTCCATTCTTCCTGCAATCGTTTAGGTTATAGTATGACGGAAAATCTCATGCTGAAATTCAAATACACATTTGAAATGAGAATGATTCTTTGCAAAAGCTAAGCGAAGTATTAAGAAAAAAGAAACTTCGATAGAAACAAAGAAAAATGCTGAACCCTTATCAAATATCAATCATCTTTAAAGGCAGCGATTGTTGGACAATTTCATCGCAGATGAAGAAGAGACTTGATGTAATAGAGATGTGGTCTTCTAGAAGGATGCTCTAAGCATGTCATTTAGCGCTTAAATAATGGAAGATGGAAACAAAAAGGACAATTATACAGTCAGAAAAGGACAGTTGGAATTTCAGGACATATGATAAGGGCTTGGAGAATTTGACACTCACGGGATACATTAAAGGAAAGACGGTCAGATGGAGAAACCTGTCTAACGAGCTTGCGTAAATTGCAGAAAAGGTACGGAAAGGCAGTGAGATTATTAACACTGCATAGAGCTACAAAGTATAGGAAGTTGTGGAGAGTCCTGATCCTCTACATCCAGAACGTACATATCACATCTCTTGAAGTCTGTATAGGGCTCAATTTTAGGGCACATAATGAGGAAAGAAGGCTATCCTCCTTCCCCGATTATTATCATTAGTAGTATTAGTAGTAGGAGTAGGAGTAGAAGTGGCAGTCGTATTTAATCCTCGATTATTATTATTATTATTATTAGTAGTAGTAGTAGTAGTAGAAGTAGGAGTGGTAGTAATATTTAATCCCCGATTATTATTATTATTATTATTATTATTAGTAGTAGTAGTGTTAGTAGTAGTAGTAGTAGAAGTAGAAATGGCAGTCGTATTTAATCCTCGATTAATAATATTATTATTATTAGTAGTAGTAGTAGCAGTAGTAGGAGTGGTAGGAGTGGTAGTAATATTTAATCCCCGATTATTATTATTATTATTATTATTATTATTAGTATTAGTAGTAGAAGAAGTAGAAGTGTAGTAGTATTTAATCCCCGATTATCATTATTATTATTATTATTATTATTATTAGTAGTAGTAGTAGTGGTAGTAGTATTTAATATGAGAGCAGCACTGGAAGAATGTAACGATGGGATGCAAATATACGAATCCCAATATAGCCATTATGATACCCAGTCTGACTCGCCTCACAACCAAATTTGCGTAATTTGGTGACCGGTTTTAAGAAAAGCAGCGCCTAACCTGACAGGTGAGGTTCAGTTAGAAAATAATCTTCAAGTCCTTTAACCTAGTTCGCTCATACGATCTTCGATTGAAGTTGTTTATTATTTTTTTTTAAATGACTCTCAGCCCATCATGAGTGTCACATTCATCAAACTTTAGATAAAACAAGCAACAACAAATAAATAAATAAAAAAAAATGGCAATAAAAACCAAAAAAAATCTGTCGACGTCGGTCCATGCTGCAGCACACTGCTCCAGCATTATTATTATTATTATTATTATTATTATTATTATTATTATTATTATTTTCTTTGATTTCTGGCGTTTACACATTTCTTTCCGGGTCCCGCCCAAGGGCCTAAGGTTAGAAATGGCATCATAACATTTTCCACTGACAAAAAAAAAAAAAAAAAAATACATAGATTTCGTAAAGTGTGGGCTGTACTTGTGAGAACAATTTTTTGTATCTCTTTGAGGCATTGACTTCCAGGAATCCCTTCAATTAGTCGACTGGAATCTTTTCCAACCAATCCGAGGGCTCCAACTACAATAGGGATTGTTGATATTCCCATATGCCACATTTTCGAGATTTCTATTTCAAGGTCCTTGTATTTTGACAGCTTTTTGAATATCTTCAAAGATATATTGCAGTCACCATATCAATAAGGAAAGCACTTTTTTGTTTGTGGTCTTTAATAACAATGTCTTATTATTATTATTATTATTATTATTATTATTAATATTATTATTATTATTACTACTACCACTACTACAACAACAACAACAACAACAAAAGTGTTGCTACTAGACTGACCACTTGGGAAACGCTTCTTTGGCTCAGCCGTCACAATCAAATAAAATGAAATTCAGTTCCGTCAATAGGAGTCTTTTAAGGAGATTGTTTTGTCCAAGTCTATAACTTCAAACTACATTTCCCTACAGTATGTAACGTTTGCGTCCACATTTATATTTTTTTTTTTTTTTTAAGGCCAGACACAAATTGGGAATAATAACTGGCAATGCACAATAACTTGACTGATGCCTTCGTTTATTTTACAGTTCCATCGTCATATACCTACGCCGCCTGTCCACGCTGTTTCTTTGTTGAGAGTTACCGCCCTTGTTGCATTTTTTGTGGCGGACCTAGTGTTATTGATTTCCATATTGAAATCTAGATTGGCTGTCTCTGTATTTTTATTGTTTTTTTTTTTATTGCGTATTATTGGACGTAGGGCTTAGCAACTTACCGTGACAAAAGGACCTTAGAAGTTGGCGTTTTCTTTTTTTTTTTTTTTTTGCTTATTGTTTTCTGGTTATATCTAAATAAAATATCAGGAGGCATTTATATCGTCTCGATCTCACCTCTGTGAAAGGCAGGAATGTATTAACCTCCACTCATAAGCCATAAAATTACCCAGGAACACGCACACAGTTTTAGACTGGCGTATGTGTACGAGGATTTTGTTTCGTTACTCAGTGTTATTAGGCATGATTCATTATTTTTGCTGTTATCTTTCAGTATCCACCTCCATCTAGCTCGCTATCTGGGTATATTTCAGTCTGTTCATATATCTTTCTCAGAATCTATCTATCTATCTATCTATCTATCTATCTATCTATCTATCTATCTATCTATGTCTGTTCATATCTATCTATTTATCTATTTATCTCAGTCTATTCATATCTATCTATCTATCTATCTATCTATCTATCTATCTATCTATCTATCTATCTATCTATGTCTGTTCATATCTATCTATTTATCTATTTATCTCAGTCTATTCATATCTATCTATCTATCTATCTATCTATCTATCTATCTATCTATCTATCTATGTCTGTTCATATCTATCTATTTATCTATTTATCTCAGTCTATTCATATCTATCTATCTATCTATCTATCTATCTATCTATCTATCTATCTATCTATCTATGTCTGTTCATATCTATCTATTTATCTATTTATCTCAGTCTATTCATATCTATCTATCTATCTATCTATCTATCTATCTATCTATCTATCTATCTATCTATCTATCTATCTATCTATCTATCTCTGATATACGGCCATACCACGTTGAATGAACCGTTCTCACAAGATCGCCGAAGTTTAGGAATATCGAGTTTGTCGATTATTCTTGGGGGATACCAGGTGCTATAAGCTTGGATGAATAACGGCTTGGAAATCGGAGAGCCGAGTTCCAATCCCAGTCGGGTTCGATATATTCACTTTTCTCCCCAACTATGGGTTAATTAATAGGACTTCTATCAGTAAATCACTATTATCTCCCAAAAATTAGTACAATCTAAAATAAAAATATTTTCTGGCTTTAAATAAACTGCAAAAGGTTGATAAACCATAAAACACAAATCAAATCTTAGTCTGTTCATATCTATCTCTACAGTGCTCTTTCAAGATCATGGCTCTCCACAACCTCCTTCTTAGCAATATTTTCCTCTTTGCCAAGCCTACCACCCCCGTTATGCCATTCATTCACACAAACCCGTCAGGTAGGTGGCAAGCTGACTTCTCCTGACCTCTTGCCCCGTGAGCGCCATACACTTCTTCCTGATTATATACCCGAGAAATTTCAACTGTGTCAGATTCTGAGAAAAAGCGCCTTTTTTGTTTCCATCTTCGTTACTTGCTCACTCCCGCCATTCTCAACATCCTTCTGTAGAACCACCTTCCTGATGTTTTCAGTTTCTCTTCATCTGCGAGGAGATTGTTTAGCATTCACGGCCATAAAAGAAATTTAAACAGTAGAATGATGAGACAATCTAGTACAGTGCTTAAATTCGTGGAGTTGAGATAACAAAAAAGAAATCTTAGAACAATTATTATGAAAGTATTTATTGAAAAAAAAAACACAGAGAAGCTACGTCACGGCAGCGGAGAAGTGACTGAAGCTAAGATGCCAGATTAAGGCCAACAACATTGCAGATTCTTCTTTGGATTCTGGCAAGAATCTCTATATAAATAGCAGAAGCAGCGGACCATTTATGATAGCGATATTCGATGCACCGATGAATGGTAGACTTATAAATCTGTAAGAGAGATTCTAGTAAGAAAAATAATATTGTCTAGCACGACACAGTAGAGCAATTTACCTAGCAGCACATCTAGCAATTCAATATACCGTATTTTCCAACTTTCAAGACGCACTCTTTTTCCTAAAAAATACCCTAAAACAACTCCCAGGCTCAAGTATGCTTGGACGGTCACCTAATTGGCTTGACTGATAGGGACGTGGATTTGTATGTTGAGTCATTACACTATAATGTTAGCTATCTATCTCATTCAGTCTTTTCTATGATGTAACCCCAGTCCTTAGCTGTTACAAGTATTTCCAAGAATATAAACCTTCCTGAAGCCGAGCCACAAGCTTAAACATGCTCTTTTTACTAGCAGCGGCGTGAGACTTTCTGCTCTTGACTAGTATGTCATTGTCATACAAACAAAATCTGACGAGTGATTAATGTAAACAGTATGTTAGGGACGCATTGTGAATGTGTTGTTGCATGAGAATGAATTTTTCTTTTTCTTAGACATTTCTTTCCAATATTTGGGTGCGTCTTCCAAGCCGTAGCGTCGTGTAAGCCAGAAATTACGGTAATCGTTTCACTTCCCGTCAGTGGAAAACTGACTAAAAATACGTAATTAGTTATTCCCCTGGAAGTTAGCACCGGCAAAGCCGATAGAAGACAGAAAAAGGGTCTCTTATACGATTAAACAAGAGAAGTTCCTTTTAGAGGCTTTACGATTAATAAGCCATTTCTTATTTACTTGTGTTTAGTATGCTCTTTGGATTTTGATTAGATATTTCTGATTTTCATTTTATTAGCCGATTTTTGATAGAACTGATAATTTTTAACACTTGCTCTGTCGGGGCTGATCAGAGAATCAGTATTTATCTTTCTAAATAGATAAACACTAACCTATCTCCCTATCTTGCCTTGATTAATAGCTGGGATAATTATGTGTTTTTTCCACAGCATTTGTAATCATTATCCGCAGTATCTACAATACCTACCTGGTATAGATATGCAATTATTTATTACTCAAGATGCCTTTCATTCAATCTTCTGATACTTTCTATAAATTCTTACTTTTGTGGCATTAATTTGCAACGTTTGTACTTGCTTACTGCACGTAACATGTATTTTTATCAATAGTGTTTCTTTTTTGAAATCCAAAATCGATACATACGAAGCAATACGCGCTTAAAATGAAGACAATATTAAAACAGAGAAAGAGAGAGAGAGAGAGAGAGAGAGAGAGGGTGGAGGTAGATGGAAGGAGAGAGAGAACGGTGGAGTGATAGAGAGAGGGAGGGAGTGAATGAGTTCAAATGTGTGATCACGTGTGGTTTATTTCGTCGTAGACGTCACCGTTTTGAAATTATTTTAAAATATAGCAGAACGATTGGAAAATGTCAAAATTATTCTATTTACAGTATAATGTATGGGAGACCATCGCAAGAATTAAAATGGGAGAAACTGAGAAAATCTGAGTAATTAATAATAAGTGCTTATATTTCAGTCTAGTCATTCATTTTATCCCTTCTTACTGTTTTAGGCTTTCCATATTTTTCACAGTCTCTTCACATCTATCTATCTATCTATCTATCTATCTATCTATCTATCTATCTATCTATCTATCTATCTAAGACAATTTGTTTCAAGCTATCACACTTTGTTTTTATTTATACCGCTTTATACACACCCACACGTTTGTGTGCGTATATATATATATATATATATATATATATATATATATTATTATTATTATTATTATTATTATATAAAAGTTGCAATATATACAGAAACGTAGTGAAACTGTTATAGAAAAGTGTGAAACTGACACGTGGATTTTTTTATCCATCTATAGTTGAATATATATATATATATATATATATATATATATATATATATATATATATATATATGTGTGTGTGTGTGTGTGTGTGTGTGTGTGTGTGTGTGTGTGTGTGTGTGTGTGTGTATATGTATGTGTGTGTGTGTATGTATGTGTGTGTGTGTGTGTATATGTATGTATGTGTGTGTGTATGTGTGTGTGTGTATGTACGCAAAAATAATATTTTTCTTACATTTATTCATTTACAATGCTATTTCACGATTAGCAATTTTTCAAAATGGGTGTCTGTCTTGATAGCATTCCGAAAATGTATTATTCTTTTCTGGTATATATCGGGTTAAGATGCTCCTTTAGAATAATTTACACTAGATATAAGCGTGAAAAAGAATGAAGAATATGTGTGTGCGTTTGTACGTATGTATGCCTGCTTTTGTGTGCATGTATGTACATATATTTGATTGAAGACGACTAAAATATTTCCTTTTCTCTTTTGCTTCATTTCGAATCATCAGTAAGAGACTTATATGAAGACAAGAATATTTGAACAAAATATTTATCAAAAGAAACATTTCAGTCGTCTTTGATCAAATATCCATAAGAGAATTATATTCTCAAAAACACATATATATATATATATATATATATATATATATATATATATATATATATATATATATAAACAATGGTGATAATAATAACAACAACAATAACGACAATAAATTCAAATATAGATAGTGTAAATATCAATAAATATCCAAACAAGTTTTGTTTGTTTAATTTTTTTATTAGCGTGACGTCATGTGTAACGACTATTGAAAACGAGGCTGTACAAAATGTATGCCAGGAATACTCAAAACCCTAAAGGTTAATATACAAAATAAATATCCCACATCAAAGAAACTATCATTCAACGCAAGAAAGGCATATGATATAATTAATGTGTGCATATATTTATTCTTATTGTATAAAAATAAAATAAATAAATCGCTTTCTTTTGTGTGTCCTCGTTCCCAACTGCCGTAAAATCAGGCTAGCTCGAACATTTCAAACATCCTGCTTCCCAAAGAATACCAAGATACAAACAAAAGAATTCTAACTATCGCACAAATATAACGTCGGTTCTTGATAATGACTGCTAAAGCCGAAAGTACTTGACCAAAGATAACAAAATATGAATTTGGAATAATTTATCCACAACTTCGAGCACAATGCTCAACACATCCGAAAATTGTAAAAATATAATAAAATATTAAACTGACAGGATTTGTCGGTTATTTTTAATTAAACCTGTTTGGGTGAATACTTGCTGCATAAATATATCTCATATACATTGAGTCAATTGCTTCGTCCACCGCAAGGAAAGTCGGCTCCAGGTACCGCGCCCGAAAATTTCTCCCCGGAATCGATCCTTCAGATCTACAAATCAACCATTTGCCCTTGCATGGAGTATTGCTGCCATATATGGTCTGAAGCCCCTTCTGTTTGTCTCAAGGTCCTTGATAAAATCCAGAGTCGGATATGCAACGTAATTGACCCTGATCTGGCATCTCGTCTGCAGTCGCTTTCTCACAGACGCGCCGTCGCCTCTCTCTGTCTTTTTTACCAAATACTTTCATGGCAATTGCTCCGATGAGCTGCTTTCGCTGGTTCCCAGATTTCATGAATTCAAGCGTCCTACGAGGCTGGCATCCCGCTCTCACCCTTTCACCGTTGAAACTGTTAAATGTAGCCGTCTCTTCTACTCCAATAGCTTCATATCTCGCACCTCTCGCCTGTGGAACTCCCTTCCCTTTTCCTGTTTCCCTGATAGCTATAATCTTCAACTATTCAAATGTAATGTCAATCGACATCTCCAGTTGGCTTGATTTATCCACTATCATTCTCCTCATCTTTTCCACTATCACTCCTATCTGCTCTCGTTCCAAATCCTCTGTAACTCATTGCGTGCTAGTGGCTTCCGGCCTTGCTTGGGTGAAATGCTTATATATATATATATATATATATATATATATATATAATTTATTTATTATAATTTTATCATATTGGCAATACCATTTTACTCACTACAAAGATGCAACTTGGTTTCAACTTAGATTTTCTCACCCGTTGAAGTGTCGTTGAAATGCACTGAAACCAAGTTGCATCTTTGTAGTGAGTAAAATGCTTTTGTCTATATGATAAAATTATAATAAATAAATAATTAATTAATTGGATTAATGCTGTGAACTTTATATATTACTTTCGTTCTCATCGCATATATATATATATATATATATATATATATATATATATATATAATCAGTTTAAACTTCACTTTTACTGGATACTGATATTTGAGTAGACATTGCGTTTATTTTAAACAGTATATTTATTTTCGTCTACCGATATGAATATTCTAAATTTTGTTAAAGAAAATGACGTGCCCTCCGCCAGCATTCGAACCTGCGTCACCTTTGCATAAGAAACAGTCGTTAGTTGCGTCGCCGATCAAGCAAGGCCGATTACTGCATTTTTAGAGCAATACTTCATGTCCCAGATTTCCGAAAGTTCATATCTTCCCATTTTGCATCCGAAAGGTAAACAAAGCAATTTCTTAAGAAGTAATGAATGTTTATTTATTAATCCGACAGATTTTTTCAAACTTTAGACGTTATTTCTAGTGAATAGCTCCGTTTATTTTAAAATAAATGGAACGTCTACTCAAATATGGTTATCCATTGGGAAAGATTCTTTAAGAATAAAAATATGTCAGATTAATAAATGAAATACATACATATATATATATATATATATATATATATATATATATATATATATATATATATTGTCCTTACATCTTTTAGCGAAGTTGAAACCATATAGACAAATTCATACATAAATACTTTAGAAGGTTCAACCGTCCAAAAATGGCCACAAGCCTTACAACAAATACAGACATGCGCAATATGACGTTCCTTAAAAAAAATAAAATAAATAAAAGGTAAGAATCCAGCTTCATTTATTTTACATTCGGAAAGGACACAGGCTTATTAGAGGATTCCGATTTTTAACAATTTCCTTATCATGAATCTAATGTTTATTTGGCTAATAATATATTATTATTATTATTATTATTATTACGTCTTGTTCGAATTTCTTTCATCAGCCTACGATAAGTACAGTATCTCTCTCTCTCTCTATCTATCTATCTATCTATCTATCTATCTATCTATCTATATATATATATCAAATTTGTTTTTATATATAAATTTATATATATATATATATATATATATATATATATATATATATATATATCAAATTTGTTTTGAAGATTGAGAGTTGCTTTTTTTAGAGCTCTCATGAAATAAAAATTATTACCTTATGGGATTTTAAGTGTTTGATATTCTTTAATTAATAATAATTTTGGTCTGTCTTTTTGACATAGAGCTCTCCCTGGATCTATATCCTACTGGAAATACCATACGGATGACGATATCGTATCATTACTATATATATATATATATATATATATATATATATATATATATATATATATATATATATATATATATATTCTAACATCGTCATATTATAATGTACCTGAATATTTAAATGTTGTCACGATATTAACGAATGATTTACTGGTACAAATTTCAAATTTCCTTGGAGTTTAGGTTAGGTTTTGGTTTTGTTTGGTTTGATAAGTTTAATTTCTTTTGGCTTCTCTATGCCTCACCCGCAATGTACTCATGAAGGCCTGAACTTACAATAGTGACACTTGTTTGCTAATGATTAGTCTGTCGCCCTATCTGTGTTTCTCTCAAAGCAGGATAATAGGATCGTTTTCTATCAATTTTACGAGGAAAGCGATAACTACGCAAATCAATTGGAAAACAAATTATATGGAAATAATTACTTCGATATCCTTCCTAAATCCCTGGCCAACATAACAATGTAAAAGATCCTTTCCACTTGTTGAAACGATGAGATCGATATTAAATTGCGATGAATATGGGGCCGCTCCATGATTAAATGTTGTTTCAAGGAGGTTTTGTGCTTGTTTTTCTTTTTGTTTAAGTGACGACCTCCTTCCGAGACGGAGACATTGGCGTTCTTGCTGGCGAAAATGGTGGGGTTGTTTTTATATAACTGTTCCTTTTATCCTTCCAATTATACATGGAACGGCTATCATTTAAATATGGCTGACTAAATCAGTCCGTACTGTCTTGGACAGTCATTTGTTCATACCGCAGCTACGTTTTTCTAAAGTCGGTTTTAAATCGACCGCACAGACGTCTGTTCATTTTCTCTCTCAGATGCTCTCAACAATACGACTTTTCCCTCTTTACCACCTTCATTTCTCGAGTGCAGTCTCACTTTTTCGTGTCTAATAAAATCTGACGAACAACGAGACGCTGTTTGATGTGAACAGCGAGGACGTAAAAGGCTTAACCCTTTGAGACGAACCGCTTCCTTTTAAGTTCAAGACTACTACTACTACTACTAATAATAATAATATCAGTAACTATAACAACAACTTTCAACGTTTATAGAGTATAAGCTATGTAATAGTTTCAATGTTTGTAACACGTATGTCATCTAATATCTAGTCCTAAGTATGACGATGAACTACAACCGGCAGCAAGGCCTCTGATTGAAACGCTGGAGGTTTTGAGGAACCTGGGACCACCAAAAAAGGGTCAAACATATTTCGTAACTGAAAAGCAAAAACTACGAGACGGCAACACGATCTGAGGCGTGAAGACGAGACTTGTTAAGAAACCAACATGACATGTGAAGATGCGGTATATGAAAAGGGATGTCAAACTGATAATGCACAACTGAAAAATCATAGCTTCCGAAAGCCGAAAGTATTCGGACATTGGACGATTTATGTGTAAATGATCACCGGAAAACGGGAGAATCCGTCACTTATTCCATCAGCTAAAGGTGAAGATAGCTGTGTAGAATGGGCTCTTTAAGCTTGCTTCTCAACCAACCTAGGAGAAAGAAAACTTTTGGTTAAAATTGGTGGGCATGTCTGCTAAAAACCTCTTCTTCCCAAATGTATAACCAAATCCTACAGATGCACGCGTAAATTTATTTCGAATCATAAATGAACAATTTACATTTTTTGTTCTTTCTTGCCTTGATATCAGAAGGCATCTATCTATCTATCTATCTATCTATCTATCTATCTATCTATCTCTCTCTCTCTCTCTCTATATATATATATATATATATATATATATATATATATATATCTTCCATATATATATGCGTGTGTGTACTTTATATATATATATATATATATATATATATATTAGCAGCATGGCCCGGCGTTTCCCGTGCTTGTTTAAAAAATCGTACGACTCATACAGCTTGTGTGGGTGAGAAATGTGGGTAGTTTTTGATTTGTAGGGTTATATATTAATACTATCTATATTGTTAAATTTATGGTTTAGCCCGGCTGGATATTTTGTTTTTAGACGTTGTATCCACTCATTTTCATGGATCTCTAAAATCTTTCTAATGTTATCTGCTCTGAACTTTTCTATTCTCTCAATTATAGTGAATTTGGCATGGATTTTAGAATCGTGTTTTTCTAGGTGGAAATGTTGTTCTACAGGTAATAATCTTTCATAGGGAGTCGACTTAATTCGATTGCGATAATTATTAATTCTGTAGTGAAAGGGCCATTCAGATTTTCCTACATATTGTTTCTGGCACAGTGTGCATTCTAGGAGGTAAATTATGTTATGACTTCTACAGTTAGAATCGTGGTAGATTTTGAAAGTAGATTTAGTGACTGAGCTAGTGAATGAATTCGTGTGTCTAATGTGGTTGCAGCATAAACTTCTTTTGTTGCTACATGGTTGGGGAAATCCTGTTGTTTTTGTTGTTGGTTTATTATGGATTACCTTGTCCCCTGAAATGTGGTTACTACCTATGATTTCTTTTAGGTTCTTAGGTCTACGATATGCAAGAAGGCTGGGTTCCTTAAACAATTTTTTAGGTCTGGTTTGAGATGTAGTATTTCCCAGCGACTTTGATTATTTGGGATAGTGGAGGCAGAGTGGGATTGAAAGTAGTTACTAGAGGGATGCGGCTAGATTTATTTTTAATCTTGTACATTAGGGTGTCTTCTCTATGTGTGGAAATTGCTTTATTTATTTGTTCCCTGATTAGGTGTTGTTTATAGCCACGTATTGTGAATTGATGCTTCAGATTTTCAATGTGCTTATTTAATTCTTCCTTGTTGGAACATATCCTTCTGAGTCTAAGTGCTTGTGAATAGGGAAGGTTCTCTTATAAGTGTTTAGGGCGGGAAGAATTCTAAAGTGTAGATAGTTGTGGTTTTAGTGTGCAGTGTCATTTGTAGTTTCCTGTTTTTATATATATATATATATATATATATATATATATATATATATATATATCAACAAAGTGGTACAGTGAATACCATGGAATTTAACTATGAAAAACTTTCATAACCTAACATCTGATTTCCCCTATCATCGAAAATGGCGGCAAAAGTTCATACTGCATTACCGCGCTGTTTATATTGCATTCGATTTGAAGATATCTTAGCACCCTTTTATATATATATATATATATATATATATTTATATATATATATATATATATATATATATATATATATATATATATATATATATATAGGTACACACACGCATATATATATATATATATATGGAAGATATATATATGTGTGTGTGTGTGTGTGCTTGTATGCGTATTGATACATCAGTAATTCAGAAGTATTATGATGAAAAAAATAATCTATTTTACACGTCTCTTTATTTTACATTAGTGTACAGTTATATTGACAAACCTAATTATGTATGTAAGCATCTATCTATTTCAGGCTCTTCATATCTATCTATCTATCTATCTATATATATATATATATATATATATATATATATATATATATATATATATATCTGTCTGTGTGTGTGTGTGTGTTCAAACGTCTTTTATTAAAGATAATAGACAAGTCAGGTGCATTATATTATTAATAAGATTTTCTTTTTTGGCGATTTTCTTTTCCACATGTTGTGTTCTTGTTACGCGTTTGAGTTTTCTCTTGGTTTCTGTCATGAACAAGAAAGAAAGAAATATGTCTCGGATATAAAAGCATAATGATTATGGCAATCTTTTTTTTTCTTTAGCTGTTGACATCTCCATGTCTGCATTACATGCTAATCCGGTGATGTCACGTGGCCGAGCAGGCTAAAATCTTTTCCCCGTAAACAACGGTTCTAAGACAAAAAAAAAAAAAAAAAAGAAAAAAAAGTCAAACAGGTCGTTCTGTTCGCTATGCACTTTTAAAACAGTGAATCTTCCATCAGTTTTTATCTGCGAGGAAACAGAATTTGTGTGCTTCGGAACATAAAAACGAAACCAGGAAGCACTTAGGTGTCCCTAAATGAAAGAAATTGATCCAGAATTCTGAGCCGTTTAGGAAAACATGTTTACGTTTTTAGGTAAGAATATGGTCTCTTGATGAAAATGCAGTTCAGAGACATGGTGCGACATGAATGCATCAATCTCGATTTGAATGTGGCATCATAAGTTCGCGCGCTTTTGTAAAGGCGATATGATTAAAGATAGATACAAACCGACAGAGATAGATAGATGGATAGATATAAACACACTAAGCACTAAGATAGATAGATAGATAGATAGATATGAACAGATCGAGAGAGACAGATAGATATGAACAGCCTGAGACAGACAGACAGACAGACAGATAGATAGATAGATAGATAGATAGATAGATAGATAGATAGATAGATATGAAGAGACTGAAATATGTTGATAGATATGAACAGCCTGGGATAGATAGATAGATAGATAGATAGATAGATAGATAGATACGAGGAGATGCTGAAAAGTTCTTGTTCCAACTCACTTCCCAATATCAGATCAAATAGATATTTGTGGAAGAAGAGACATGGTCATGCTGAGTCTTTTCCAGAAACTTCTTGTGTGTGTAGAAGGTGCATGTGTATGTTTATGTGTGTGTGTGTGCCTGTATGTGTTTGTGTGTGTGTGTGTGTGTTCTTGTGTACAGAGGTATATATATAGTTGTAACCTAGAGCAGGTTACTGAATGAGGAATAACCATAACGGAAATGAAATGGTAATCTTTACCACATCAACAAAATACAATACTCGCCAGCGGCGTGAAGTAGGTAAACCACTTCTAATAGTGGACTACTTAGATAGCATATTCCTCCCACTTACAATATTATGCAATGTATTTATGAGGCTGGGGACATACCCATTAGTGTTCATGGGTACAGTATACAACATATATATAGAATGCATTAAACTATGATGATAAAGAAAGACTGAGAAACATCGAAGAACAAATACCAACCGCGCGCAGGCTCACGCACACATACACTCATATATATATATATATATATATATATATATATATATATATATATATATATGTGAAAAAGTGTATATAAATATAAATAAAATATATATGTATAATTATTTATATATTATATGCGCGGTACTTATTAGAACGCGCTCAATATCAGAGATAGAGCTAACATATTAGTTGGATAGATGTGAGTTTGTGACCCTGGGTTTCACGCTTTAGCGATCGTCAGACAAACTGATTAATGTTTTAAAAAATTTGGGTTTATGTAGATTGCGTGTATTGGTGTTATTGTGGAAGTGATGGGGGAAATTTCGTCGTTTTGTCATTCATCGTACTAACGCAAACATCGATGTATGCAGACACATATACATACTTGGTCGTCCGTCGGGACTCATACATATATAAACGTATGTGGGCAGTTTCGGCTATGACATATGTATGTATACGGGTGGTGTTATATCTATACATACGCATTTGTATGTTGAAATGTTGAAATTTAAACATTCGAAGTGTGGCGGAAATGTCTCGTTACTGTATACATGTCATATTAAGTGTTTTCGCGCTGAAAAATATTTCCTCGCATGTATGTATATGCGTGTGGTGGGGTTTGTGTAAAATTATGATAGGTAAAAATTATTATTATTTATATTTATTTTTAAATTTTTGAAAAAAAATGGGGGTTTATTTGTCATATTTAAAGCTGGTTATTTGTTTGTTTTTGGTGTCTGTGTATATGTAACAGGTAGAAATTTGTAATCCTTATTGGATAATTTATATGGTGATAATTAGTTTAATATTCAATGTGATGGGTGAGAGGGTAGTTCAATTTAATAACGGGTCTATAAGATATGATGTGATAGTAATGTTTCAAGGGATTGGAGACAATGATAGTTAGCTAATAGTTGTAAATTGGTAGAAATTGTAAATTGGTAGAAATGATTAGTAACGGTGGTGGGACAATGATAAAACCATGAATGTAGTTATAGTGGTGTTAGCTTGAACTAAAAAGTGGTTGTAGGTATTTTATTTTTGTTTTATTTTGTTATATGCATTAATTTATTTTGGTATAAATCCTGATAATAGGTATTCTGTGTAAAATTATGGTAGTTGGAGATTGCTATAATTTTTAATATTTTAATTACAAAATTATTATTGTTATTATATTAAAGTTGCCTGTTAATAGGTGTTTATTCTCATGGTTCCATAAGGAAATTATATCTGATCATATTGTTTTAAGGTATTAAATATGCTGGGGGAGTAATAAAGATTGTAGTGGATTTATATGTTAATAGTGGGTGTGATGTGTAAGTGATGGTGCTGTGCGTTGGTGGTAATGATAATATTGTTAGTTAAAAGGTATTGTAGTAAAAGTGATTACTAATGGTGATATAATTATAATAATGATAGATGCAATTATTTTGATTGTATCTTGAAATTAAATTGTGATTGTTGGTGGTTTGTCTGTTTTATCCGTTTGGTATGAATTCGGATAATAGGTACTTTTTAGTTTTAGAGAACCCAGTTATGACAATTTCTGCGATCACCCCTTACATCGGGCCACCTAACTCCCCAGACTGCACCCCCCTTGATTATCATGTGTGGGGCGCAGTTGAGCGAGAGACCAACAAAACTCTTTCTAACATCAAAAATGAACTGAAGGCAAGGATTATGGCGGCATTCACCATAAAGGAGGCCGTCCAGAAGAGTTGCAGGAGATTCCGAAGTTGTCTGGAGGCTGTGGTTGAAACTAATAGCGATTTTTATTGAATAAATTTACTCTTTGGTATTTCAAGATATTTTTGTGTAATTTTGGTAAATACATCTGTTAAAGTGAGATGTCAGTGTTATTTTCATTTTTACGTCTAGATGACAATTTATCCACGGCACCCTGTATATAAATACGAAGTGGATTCAGAAAGGCTACGAATTGTCCGGGATAATGCACATTGATATCCAGTTTCATGAGTCAGTCTGCTAATAGGATTTGTGCTATCTTCTCGCTCTAAGTTATTTCTCGTGGTTTTGCAATATTGTCTTGTAACAGCCCCGAGATCTGCATAATGGCTGACAAAGACTGTGCGTGCAGTTTAGTAAATCTGTGCCTCAGATCTTTGAAATGCTTCGTCATGCTTTTAGCAGACATTCCTTAAGTTGTTGAGTTCGACACGTCTTTCAAGGCCGGTCGAATATCGGCTAAAGATAATGAGTGCCGAGGAAGACGATTTACCTCCCCCCCCCAACCACCAATTCATGAAAATCTATGAAAACAGTAACTGAACAATCCATCAGCTTCCTCAGATAATTGGAATCAATTATAGAGTTTTCTAGGAGAGTACCACGTAAGTAACCGAATATCGTAGACATTGTTGAAAAGTATGTCACCTGACTGGGATAGCTGCATGCCATCACAAGTGGAATATTTCGAAAATTGAAATGATATATAAAATTTTTAATCGAATTCAACCCAAGCAAAGCAGCAAATCCACAAGAGGTGACTGTGTGTGGAACAATCGGAAAACAGAAACTTTATTATGTAGCAAGAAGAATAATCTGAAGGACGGTTGAAACGGATTGACATTTCAATTTTTGAATCATTAAATTTGGGTGGAAAACATGAAGTCGGAAGAAAGTTCCACAAGCGAGAAGTGCGAGAAAAGAAACTCCTAGCAGAGAGCTTAGGGTTACATCTATCCAACTCAACTGTAAATTCGTGAGAGCTCGATGCACTTAAATTGAAAAACAATTCTAGGTACCATGGCGAAAAGCGATATTTATTCTGCTATTTACAGAAATATGGCACAAGGCCAAAATG